GGGTGGGGGGGCCCAGCCTCCCGGGTCTGGCCCGGCCACGATGCAATAACCTGTGCCCGGTCCAGACTTCAAGTAAGGCGCTCAAGTTTGAACTGTACGTACAGACTTTTATATACCAAAAGTATTTTTTGACTAGATCATTCGAAACTACCAGAATGATGGAAATGTTTTTTTCTCTCATTAAAATCCAGGCCCTTAGGCTTTATTTTCCATGTATGAGTCCTGTGTATAATTCATGTATAAATGTGTAGCCAGGCACCTGTAAGCAGCGATTGTACACAGTGTGCTGATGAAAAGTGAGCGCCCGTGGGGCAGCCTCTGCTGCTGGAAGCCACCGCCGCAGAGGCCGTGTAAACGTGCACAATAAACCGCTGTCTCCCACCGGCGGCTGCGAGTCTTGTGTTTTGGACCCAGAGCGGAGCCGTGGCACGAGAGCTCGGGTTTTCTGGACACAGTGAGGCGAGGGCCGATCTGTTAGTTTCAAAATAAGTTTTAATCATAAGCTTTATATACAAATTGTTGTACAATTATTTTAATAAAGGGAAATAGTAAGTGAAAATACAAAAAGCAAAGCTGGCTTCTCCCCCTCAGTGAAGTGTCAAAGGTTTGTTCGTAGCCCAGATTAGTGATGCGGTAAGTGGAGAGTCTATAAAACGGGCTCAGGGAGACTGTAAACTGACGCACTAGAAACCAGGATCCCAAACAGATCGGGCCCGACTTCCCACTGCCCAAATCATTACTCTGCAAGAGTGAACACTGAGGGGCCAGAACCTTCTAGCAAACCTGGGCACCCATAAAAACATGGTTGAAGTTACGCTAAAAATAGTTCAGCACTAGTGAGTAGTGTAGCTGAGTCTCTCCCACCTCCAATTAAGTACCAACAGGATAGTGCACAAACTCTAAAGCACGAAGCTGTTTAGAGTGTTAACGAGCTGTGCATATCGCACTAGGATCTGTTTCTCCAAACGCTCGACTTGTATTTCCCAGCACGTGTGGGGTTAGTTGCCTGTGTGTGCAGAGCTGGCTCCACGGTCCCCTGCTGATGGTCCATCCCGCATGGAGTCACTGGTCCCTCGACTCGTAGAGGAGCTTGGTGGCCTATGACGTGACGCAAGAAGCGTGACCAGTCCCGTGCCCAGCTGCTACGGGCTCCCCCCCACCCCCACCGGGCCGGCAGGGCTTCCTCTGGGAGAGGTGGGCCTGTACCTGAAGAAGGGCCCCGCCTCCCGAGCCCTGCCCGCCGCAGCCCACCAGGTACCTTGTGCATGGCCGCCAGCCACGCCGTCGACTGCCTCCTGCTGGCGTGTGCGTCCTCCCCGGCCGTCAGCTTCAGCTGCGTCAGGCCCTCCGCCCCCGGTGCTGCAAACCGCAGGGACATGCCTGTGGCCCGTGTGTTGCCTCCTGGAGAAGGGAGACGAGGTAAGGCCCGTGGGGACCCCAGGATCCCACGTGCCCTTGTGGAGGCCAGGGTGCCTCCTTCCCACCCCTCGTGCTGGTGCGGGGGTCCCAGGGGCACCGGTGGAGGTCTGGAAGACCCCAAATTCACAGGATGGGAAAGGAACCGAGTCGCCTGGTCCTCCAGGGCCCAGGAAAAACCACATCACTGAGCCGAGAGAAAACCCACAGTGCCACCCGGTCCCACGTGGGGACTCCTGTGGTCAGGAAACCCAGCCAGGGCTGGCTCCACGCCAGTACTGATCCCGCTGGCCGTCACTCCCGCCTCAGAGCCATCCTGCCGTTGAGAGCTCGTGCACAGGCTGAGGGACCAGCGGGGACCAGCACCAGAGAGGTGCTGACACCTACCCTGCCGTGTGAGCCCCGGCAGAGATGCAGTGAGGGGACCGGCCTCTGCAGGCCGCACCCGGCTGTTTCCACAACCAGCCGCTCAAGGACGGGTGGCTCTCACGGCCTTGACCACAGAACGGTCCCGTGGGGACCAAGCGTCACCGTGAAACCCGTCTACAGCTTTTCTCCTCCGCTTCAACATGCAAACTCCATTTCTGAGCAGGACTCCACCTTGTGGAAGATTCCTTCTAGCAGACACTGATCTCTGAGTCAAAACCAAGGGGCCCCCCTCTCCCCTAGGGTCCGTGGACTGCAGATGACCCCCGCGGACAATTAGAGGCCTGACCATCCATGAGTGTGGACAGGCTGGTTCCTAATGGGACCCCTTGAGGCGAGTGCCCCCACTGGCAGACCACGGCTCTGCCCACCCCGCTTCTCTAAGTAAGGTTTAATCAGCACAGCCACGGCCACGTTCCTGTGTCATCTCTAGTTGCTTCTGCACTTTGCAAGGATCCAGGCAGCCGGCAAAGCTAAGAACACGCACCACGTGGCTCTCCACAGGCCGGCAGGCAGCTCCTTCGGCCACCGTCACCTCAGGCAATTGTGCCACCTGCCCCCGCCAGCCCCAGGGAAGACAAGGTTCTACGGTTTTAAAGGTTCTAGAAAACTTCTGGCACAGCGGGGTTCATTGCACCCCCAGAGTTTCCAAAAGGGGGCGTGTGGCGCCAGAAGCCCCCGGGCCCTGCCCAGGGAGACCATGCACCAGGCCAGCTGGGATGTGGCCTTCTCCCTGGCCCAGGAGGGGCCGGGATGAGGTGGCCTTCCTAGCGGGAGGCAGGCACAGGAACACCCCCGCTGACCCCCAGCTTCTCTGGGCCCTGCCCTCTGTACCCGGGGGTCTTCGACGCCCACCCCGCCACCGGCAAGCAGCCTGGAATCCCTGAGCACACCGTGCGGAGGGCACAGAGGCGGCGGCGCGCTGGCCTGGCCCTGTGACCTCGGCATCGGCATCCAGGAGCTCAGGCCGAAGTGCGGAGCTGGCTGGGAAGGGGCGGGAGGGCGCCGGCCGTGCCCCGCTGCCCCTGCGCTCGGCCGGCTTAGGGCCAGTAGATGCAACACTAAATCCCCTTAGGGCTGAGAAACCCAGCAAACCAAATCCATCTCTACCCCCGATGTTTCCATTCATGCTTTATATACCCGCGTCTTGGGCCCAACCCCCTTTCAAATCGACCAACAGAAGTGACTGTGCATTTCAGAGGCGTGGCCTGGGCTGGACTGCCCGGTGGCAGCAGCAGGGCCGGAGGAGGGTAGCAGGTGGCTGACCTTCAGAGGCGGGCTGGCTCCCCAGGAGGCTGGTGTAAGTGTGAGTGTCTTTTTCTACATCAAGAAGGCGGGCAGGCAGGAGAGGAGAACAACCAAGAGCCAATCAGAAAACAGAAAGCAAGAAGGATTAAGTCACGTGGGTTTTTGTCAGCACGGAATGCAAACTCTCTTCCCGTGGAAAAACAGCCAGAAGCGTAGAAGTTCAGGTGGAAAGATCCAGAATGGGCTGAACGTTCTGGAAGCTCACCAAGGAAATGGAAAGGAATCTCGTCCCCACGGGTGCCTGACAGGAGCAGGAAGTGCTAGTTCCCAAACAGCCACCACGCCACACCCTTCTGAGCACACGGATGACGCCGCCGCACTGGGAACGTCATCCTTGGTTTGAGGCCAACGATAAATGGTACCAAAGACCTTGTATGTGACACGCTCAGGCACATTCTCCTGAATTCGCTATCTTACACGTTAAGCCCCATTCACCTGGCAAGTTCCTAAAACCATGTACTAAATCCAAGCCCCTAGAGGACGACGGGCTGGCTCCTCAGAGACCCTGCCGACAGACTCTGTCCTCGAGGCCCCTGTGTCATCCCCAAAGTCGCCCGCGCCGGCACCAGACTTCCTGCCGCACTCACCTCCGGGCGGAAAGCCTTCCGTGAGGATCTGCACAGTCGAAATGTGCGCAATGTCAATCTCGTGGCGGCTGTCCCCATCCAGAAGCAAGTACCTAGGAAAAAGGGTGTCCGCACCACGTTACCCCGGGGCCGACGTGACAAGGCTGTCCGTGCCCAGCAGCCTCTGCCTCTCACCTCTGGTTGTTGGAGAGACGACAAACCATGGTTTCTGGCTTCTCAGAGTTTCCAAAAGTTACGAGAAAAGTAGCTCCTTAGGATACAAAAACAAACGTGAGAACACAGCGAGCCCCTCCACCCCTCACCGCCCCCCGGCCCGGCAAGGCCAGCTCCCAGGGAGGCGCGCACACGGGACAAGATGAGACCAAATGAGTCAACAGTGGTGGCTGTGCCCGCAGGTCCCCGAGGTGAGGCGGCAAGGCCATGACGGAGGAGATGCTGCAGTTTTGTAAAGCACAGGGCGCTGCTATTGGGAGAGGTTCTGCGCACCCTCCATGCTGCCAGCAACGTCCCGTCCTTCCCCACAAGGCACCCACACGCTCCCGGGGGAGCCAGGGCGGCACCGGAACGGGACAGAAGGTGCACAGAACTGGCCCGGAAGGATCACGGGACAG